ATTACAAAATTATAATACAGTCAACTCTTAGATTATACTATATATCAGTTTTCTATTTTAGTTTAAGAAACATTCTGATGCCTTTGATGTTCTCATACATAATGTATTATGGTATCAATTCTTACTACTTTCTTGTACAACTTTCTTTAAACACGTAAATTACTATATAAAAGAGCCGATATATACCAGGGTTAGAAATATAAAAAACTCAGTTCTATTAAGCTAGTAACTTGGATTTAAGTTATACAGAACAAGTGAAAGTTTTTTGGTTACTATCCTTCTTTTTTTTGCAATGTATTCCTAAGAATAGTATAGGTTTCTAATCAGTAGAATACAATATACCTAGATCGTCTATATAGTGATATACATAATATGTTCCACTAGCGTTTCTCATCTCTGCTAATAAATGAAATGCTTTGTGTTTACTCTTTTAACTCCAATTCTGTTTCGATAACAATATTTAATATATATTCAAACCAGCTTTTCCTATTTCTGCTAATTTTTTTTGGTAATAACTTAAATACCTTGTGCTCATCCTTCTAACTCCAATTCCATTTTGAACCAACATTATATATTCCACTGGTGTTTCTCATCTCCATTGATTTTTGATAATAAATGAAATGCCTTGTATTTACCTTTTAAACTCCAATTTCATTTTGATAATAATATCCAACAATATATGTTCTACTGGCGTTTCTTATCTTCACTGCTTTTTTGATAATAAATGGAATGCCTTGTGTTTACCCTTTCAACTCCAATTCTGTTTCGATAATAATATCCAACAATATATGTTCTACTAACGTTCCTTATTTTCGCTGATTTTTTGATAATAAATGGAATGTCTTGTGTTTACTCTTTCAACTCCAATTCCGTTTCAATAATAATATACAACATTATATATTCCAACCAGCATCTCAATCTCTGCTGATTTGTTTGGTAATAATGGTTGTCCTTTTCAACTTTAATTCTATTGTATATTTCAACTAGCATTCTCTACAATAATTCACTACAATAAGAAAATTTTCTAATTATTAGTTAGAACTAACTTTAAATTACTCATCCTAATTCAAATCAAACTAACCTCGCTGACAAAATAATTGTTGGTGAAATGGTTGTTGTCAAAATAGAATGAAATGGCAGTTAGTGAAACAGGTTAGTCTATAAAGAACAATACAGCACCAAATAATTCAAAGATTCAGAAATATATAAGTAAAAAATAATACTTGTTAGATTGAAATTATTATTGTAACTGACCAGAAATAAAGTAATAGCGCAGCGACATGATCTATAATCTTGAATTTTATACTTATTATTCAAAAAAGTTTTTACAAATTTATATAAAAGCTTTTTGAATCCTGGATTTTATTATTATAAAATTAATAACCAGAATGGATTGATCAAATTCGAATATTTACCATTCCAATTAACAAATGATAAAGGCCCAAATATATTTTTTTTACAGAGTTGCATTTATTGGTTAAAAACTTTTGCTATTTGCAAAATAATATATCTTTAATCGATTATTTCCTGATTGCATAATTGTATGAACTGCAATTTGCAAACTTTGATCAAAGATACATCATTTTGTAAATAGCAATAAAAAAAAACAATTATTTAAATATTTCAATCATATATCTTCAAAATCGTTACCAGTATTAATGGATTATTACTTTATTGTTCATACTTAAAATCTTCAATACCAATAAAAAAAAAAGGCAAAAAGATTTATATCCGATATTTTGTTATAAAATTTAAAAAAAATTATATTGGATACTTTGCTATTATATAATTATAGAAGTCTAAAAAAAACTACTAAAATTAATGTTTCGTTTTTTAGTAAAGTTCAAACATAATAAAACAAAAAGTTGTTGCAAATAAAGATTCTATTTTATATATTTATATTTTCTTAGATACAACTTGATTTTGCTAAAAATATTTTAGTCACATCAATAAAAAAATAAAAAATTTTTCTACGTAAAAAAAAAAGGGGGTTGATTATTCGAATTCTAAAAGATATGTTAGTTTTGGAAGATTTTGACTAAACAAACTGCCAAGATTCCATTTTGCATCCTTATTAATTGATGGATAGTCAGTTATTACATTGCTTACAATTTGGTTTGAAATTATTGCTTATTCATCAGGATCAAACTCATTGAAATCTGATTGATCCCACTTCTCACTTTGTATATGCACATCATTATAAATCATAGCAGTCCACTTTGATACTATTTTATTCCTCTCTTCTATGCTCATAGCATTATTATTTCTTTCTTGTTCTTGTGCCTCTTCATCTTCAGAATTGCTAATAATCATTGTATCATCTTGATTAATTTGTACAGAATTAGTTAATATTTCAGAATTATCGGATGATGGTAGTAATAGTTGAATATTATTTTTAAATTTTTTAATTGAATTTTTAATTGCTTTTAAATTATTGCAATGATTCATTGCAGTATGTAACTGGCTCATTTGTAATACTTTTTTAGGCT